ATATATATATATATATATTTTTCCCCCTCTTTAAACCAGCAATCCAATCAAACAACAAACGGTTTCTACACCATATCCTCAATTTTTATTTTTATTTTTTTCCTTCTTCTTCTTCCTTTTCCATTTATTTTTTCTTCTTTACCTCACTGCTTTGAAAAACAAGGCAATCAGCAAACCAATAATGAGTACAACAAGAAATAATACACATATTTTGAATGCTCCTGCCTCTTGATACTCTGCTGCCTTTTGTAACTCAACTTTAGCCTTTTGCACACGGCTGTGTGTTACTGTCATATTATAGTCAATGCGATCAAGTACTGCCCCTTGTTCAATCACAAGGGTATTCATATCTTTAAACATTTCATGTAAAGACTTTATGGAAGTATAAATCCGATCAAATTCTTTTACACGTTCATCTACCATATGTTGATTTAATAAAATAGTTTCTATTTGTTCCTGCGTCATACCCTTCTGAAGATATTGATCCATCACGGCATCGGTTTCTAATTGTTGTTCAATCACCCGTTGTCTTTCACCACCTGCCCAACGTTGAGCCACCGCCTGTTGTTTCTTCACATCCATCATATATCGGCGTTGTCTCTCACGGTAAATCTTACTGATATTATTAAGTTCATTAACCAAACACATTTTTACATTACGAAGTATACTTAATTCCGCATCAGTTCCACTATCCGGTAAGTCCCGCATATACGCAGCGTCTATTTCTTTAATCAACTTCTCCCCTTGTTTAAAGAGGGTATCAATAAGATCCTGTTCACGATCAATCTTCACCTCCTCCTCTCCCTCATCTCTGGCGGAGCTAAACTCAATCTTAAGATGATTCTTCCGCAGTCCCTCGAGTACTTCCATGTGTGTTCGTATCTTCTGCCCAACGAGCCGCACGTCGTCCATTTTCTCCACCCACTGCGGGGTGATGTAAGTCGCTGTGGTCTGCGCCTCCTCCGCCAGCAGCCGCTCCGCGTCGGGGTGCCGCGGCCGCACACTGCGATACTGCAGGAACTCCGCCGTCCGGTCCCGCGTCGCCATTCACACTAACAGAAAGATAAATAGATAGATAAATAAATAGATAGATGGATAGTAATATACTAAATAATAATAATAATAGTAGGAGTTACGCAGTAATAATAATAACCCCCCCCCTGTGGGATTCCTACACTACACTAGTTGGAATGGAATGCAAAGCCAAAGAAGACCAACTACAGAAATAAAAGGTGAAAGAAAACAAAGAAAGAGATAAATGGTCAGAGAAAAATACAATAATAATAACAACAACAATAATTATAAAAAGAAGAAAAAAAGAAAAAAGAGAAAAGAACCTTCCACCACCACCACCAAATTGCTGCTTTTTAAAATTTCAAAGCAATATAAAAAGAAAAAAAGAAACCCATTTGTAAACGCTTTGGATTACATTTAGGATCGATTGCAACCAATTCCTTTTTTTTTTCTTTTACACAATTTCTCATGTGAAAGATTCAGAATAGGAGAAAAAAACAAAAAAACAAAAACAAAAACAAAAACAAAAAAAAACGAAACCAAATAAACACCCCCCTTAAATAAATAAAAATAAAAAAAGAAAATAGGAATTTTTACTTTTTTATTATTATTATTTTTTTTTTTTTTCATTCGTACTCTTTCTTTAACAATTTTGCGATCGTTTGCAATTGAATAATAGATGTTCCTTCATAAATGGCACCAATCTTCGCATCCCGGTAAAAACGCTCTAATCCAAAATCTCTCATATATCCAACACCACCTGCCCATTCAATCGCCTTACTTGCCGTTTCTTCTGCCACTTGAGATGCAAATAACTTTGCCATTGCCGCATCTTTTATAAATGGTTGTTGCATTGTTTTTTTCCTTGCCGCATTATATACCATTAATCGTGCAGCCGATATATGCGTTGCACACTGTGCATATTGCATTTCCACAGCTTGAAAATCACCAATACGAGTACCAAATTGTTTTCGTTGAAAGAGATACGGCATAACATGATCCATTGCTCCTTGGGCAATTCCTACCATTTGAGCTCCTATTCCAATACGGCCTTCATTTAATACCCCAATCGCAATAGCATATCCTTTTCCAATTCCTCCAAGTATATTAGACTCTGGTACCTCAACATTATGAAAGAATATCTCTGCTGTAGAACTCGCACGAATACCTAATTTTTTCCCAGCGCTTACCACCTTTACTCCATCTGTTTTTCGTTTATCCACCACAAAACAGGTGATTCCCTTGTAACCCTTGGATGGATCTACATTCGCCATTACAAGAAATATATCCGCATTAGCGCCATTCGTAATAAACATTTTTGAACCATTAATAACCCATCCATCACCTTTCTTCTCTGCACGTGTCTTCAGTGCAAAAGCATCACTTCCACTTCCAGTCTCTGTTAGGCAAAAACATCCCACTGCTTGAGTTGCCAAATCCGGAAGAAACTTCTCCCGCTGAGCCTCCGTGGCATATCGAAAGAAGGTATTATTTACTAGAGTATTATGTACATCTACAAATACCGCCACAGATGGATCTTCCTTTGCAAGTTCTTCAATGGCAAGAATACTGGAAAAAAAAGACATTCCGCCCCCACCATGAGCTGTGGGTATTTCAATACTCATAAGACCAGCCTCAAACGCCTCCTTAATGATTGTATTATCCATACATTCTGCCTCATCCATCTTTTTGGATAGTGGTTTCACAACATCTTGATTAAATCGACGTACAGAGTCCACAAGTAATTGTTCTTCTTCTGAGAGAAGCGTCACCGGGGTTGGAGTTAATGATGTGGCCGCACACCGGGCAATGAGAGAACGCCGAAGCAGAGAAACACATGTACGTTGGAACATCTTTTTGAAAGAAATAAAACTTCGTGCAGGTGATTCTACTCTCTCCATATATATACATATTTATTTATATATAATACCAAAACGAAAAAAAAATGAGAAAAAAAAAACAAAATATTCACAAGAGAATAAAGGAAGGAATAAAATTTTTACACAGTACACTTCTTACTAAAAAAAAACAAAAAAAAACGAATATAGTTTGCCATTTCGAAACATAATTCACAGGTCTACCACTATCTTTTTTTTTTTTTTTATCTAAATATATCTGTAATATCTCAGACTTTTTCTTAAAAGAAAAAAAGCAAGCATTAACGCAATTTGGTAGTTAACGAAAACACAAAAAAAAACGTGTGTGTAGTCATCTCGAGAGCCCACACCACCAAAAGCAAGTAAAATAAAAAAAAAAAGAAGAAAAATGAAACGCATACAATTGATTCCTCTACACACGTAAAGGAGAACAAACATAGAGTTTAACTACTTGTGAGAGTACATGGTAGTTGCTGTCTTGTTTTTTTTTTATTTATTTATTATTCCTTCTTGGCTTGTTAATAAACTTGATTGACCAGAAGAAATGAACTACACGATGATCCACACCAATGGAGTATGTACACACATGCACATACAGTTAAACTATAACAATAATAATAATAATAATAATAATAATAATAATAATAATAATCACTGATAAAAAAAAACCACATCTGATTCTCATGTAGATGATGTAATTTCCTCCCACATTGTTCGCCCTATACCATGACGCTTGTGGGAGTACACGACAATCACCACCACAGATGTGAGTAACGCACCATTGACAAGAAATGGAAGACCACTCATCACACTTGTGGGAGAGCGATTGGAAAAAGACCAGGACATCAGTCTTCCTAGAAAAAGAGAAGCCCCAATTTCTAATAAATTCTGCAAAGTGCCTACACACCCAAGGGCTAAACCAGCAACACCACTATCTGAGGCAAGGGCTGCTATTTTAGCATTAAAAATAGTAGTGGCTATTGTTGTGATTGAACCTAGAAAGGTAACAACATATAATTGAAATCCAGTCATTGCAAGTGCATATCCCATCGCTACCACAGGTACGATCGCTAATGTTATAAATAAAACAGGAAGCACGATATTACTCGAAATAACAAATCTAACTCCAATTAACTGAAAAAAAACTGACAAAAATGCAGAAATACCTGTCATTACACTTACTTGCGGTAGTCCCCATCCAAGCCTAAAATCCACAAAAAGAACAATCATCATATGTGTATTTACATTACCAACACGAAGAATAGAAAGTGCAATAATAAGGTTTCTAAGCAAAGTATCTCTATATATGATACGAAGACTATTTTTAACTCCTCCTGAGGAACGTAATGCAGTTGACTCATCAGACTTTGAATCCACTAAAGGAGTGACTGTACGTGAACCACTCGGTAATTTGGTAGCCAAAACAAGGAGGAATGCAGATCCAGAGAGAATAGTGGCGAACATTAGTGTAGCGAAACGTGAGAAATACCAACTGATAAGACCACACAAAAGTGACGAAGATAACATAGATATACCAAATGTAGCACCAACGTAACTAAATGACTCTAACAATGCGTGCCCACCCATATAATCCGAAATAAAAGCCTGTAAAACGGTAGCGGGAATAGATAGTGCGGCAAAACGGGCAAACCACAAAGGATATATTACACGAGCCATATCACCGTACAGAACAAAAAGGGAAGAAAGAAAAAAGAAAAAGATCCATGGAGTTAAAAACTCCAACCTTCCCAAATGATCAGAGTAATGACCAGTAATTCCGCAACCCAACATACCAACCAAAGCAGTTGTCGCTGTAAAAACACCTTGCCATGTAGGTGCAATTGACTTTCCAACAATATCTTTTAATATAAGAGGTACCGTTACCTGAAGTACAGCCCAACATCCAATAACAAGACCCCAAACAACGCACAACCTATACACAAGTAATCGACTTTCTCGAGGCACATTATCCATGGCACTAGAAATCAAAGAATTCACAACCCTACGCAGCAATCAGAAAAAAAAACAAAGACTGAAGAGAAAAAAAACAAATCAAAAATCAAACATAATATCTACAAGTGCACCTCTAAAATTACAAACACATACATATATCTCGAAATAAAAATCTGTAAGAACACGTTTTTGATGCATGTTAGAATCCCCCAAAGGTGCATACCACAAGGTATTATTGGAAGAATAAAATAAAAAAGAAAATCGTCTTTGATGAAAATAAATAAATAAAAAGAAGGGTAGGATGGGTCCCGAGAGAAACATCGGTCCCATGCGAAAAAAAAAAAAATAAATAAAAATAAGAGAAAAAACAAAAAACAAATTTCCAAACGTTTTCCAAACAGAGTCCACTCTAGCTGCTCAATGATACCACAAAGGCACCATCACCCATGGCAATGGGGTACACCTTATTCTCCACGTCAAAGCGAGCCTTGAACTTCTCCCGCACGTTGCAAACCACGCGCTCCACAGCACTCTTCTTGAGTAGCAGAATGACGCAACCACCGAATCCACCGCCCATCAGGCGTCCACCGGCGACATCTGGGTCCTCGTTGATTGTCGACTGAATGAGATCCAGCTCGGGAGTTGAAATCTTCATCAGTGTCTTCATGCCCTCATGTGCCTCGTTCAAGATCTTACCTGCGCGCTTGAAGCACTCCTCGTGTGTCAGACCGCTGTTGGGGTCGGTGAGAGCGATGAAGTCACGTGTGCGGATCTGCTCCGTGACGTTGTAGTAGCCGCGATCAAACTCACCGCTTGTGAGGAACCTCTGGCACGACTTCACGAACGCGGGGGCGTCACCATCGGCAGTGAACTTCTTGGGATCACGGACAAGCTCGGTGAAGGTGAACGGGCGGCCACCCAGAACGTTCTTTGAGATCTTCTCCTGAGCATCTTCCTGATCGCTCCGAACGGTGTTGTACGTTCCTGCTGTCTCGCCCTGCAGATCGTGTTTAATCATGGAGTCAATGAGGAGGAAGCAGGCATCGTCGCCAGTAACTGGCGTGATATCGCAGAGCTTGTACTCCAGTGTTGTACAGTTCAGAACCATGAATGAATTGGCAACCGAGAAGGCGGAGGCGAACTGATCCATGATGCCAATCTGCACACCGCAGAAGTCTGTCTCAATGCGACGTCCCTGCTTCACAAGCTCGATCATATCATCATGGGACTCCCTCGGGAGTATGGCGTACCGCCGCCCGGATGGTGTCTTCGCGTGCAGATGACGGCCCGTGATGGTTGTGGAGAATGCGTTGAGCAGTGCAACGTCGAAAGATGCGGAGGCGCTCATGCCTGCACCCATCTCCAGCGTTCCGAGGATCATCATACAAAGGCCCTTCAGCGGTGCTGCGCCAAGCTTTACGCCGTGGTGGGCCAGCCGAATGGCAGCCGCTCCACGAATGAAGGTGGTCCACGCCTTGTTGTGGGACTTGTCGTTCAGGTCCTCAAGCTCAAAGTATTCACCGCGGGTGGTGGCAAAGCGCAGCTTGTCGTCGTTAATGTGCGCTACGCGACCAACGAGGATGTGACAGCCGTCTCCCACAGCAGCGGGGCAAACGTAACCGCCCATGTAGTCCACATGCTCACCGATGAAATTGACGCGTCCTGGGGCAAATGTAAAGAGAATCCACTCAACGTCTGACTCGTCTTTCACATTGAAGCTCTTCATGAAATGAGGCTTCAGCTGCGAAATGGTTTCGTCAAGGCGCTCATCTGTGTAGCTGGTAAGGTTCATGGCTTTTTTTGTTTTATGTTGGTAGCGGTATTAGTTAATCTGCAAAGGAAATAGAAGAAAAGAAAAAAAAAGAGAAGACANCTGTGTAGCTGGTAAGGTTCATGGCTTTTTTTGTTTTATGTTGGTAGCGGTATTAGTTAATCTGCAAAGGAAATAGAAGAAAAGAAAAAAAAAGAGAAGACAATTTAGAGGGAAATATGATTGCGTGGAACCTTGTCAGGTGCCATCCTACTAATGTCAGAGAGTGTGCTGCTGATGAGGCCAGTAAACAAGACCCATCCATTTCCCCACAACCAATTACACTTCACAATACTGATACAATGGTGCTAGAGCAGCACCATAAAGTAAAACTCTTTACAGCCTGGCGTTGGTGTAGTCGCCAGGTCTGCCATCTGCCGGTGGTGTTTGCACAGAGGCTGTGGTGGCAATAACGTACGCCAGATGTTTATTCCAAATGCCTCGTGTCTTTGCACGATGCTCGCGTGCAGCACGGCTCACACCCACGTGCAACCACTCAGCACATGCTGAGGTCCACGCATACGACAGTGTGCACGCCACACCAAGGACGTTCAGATACTCCGTAATGATGAACACAGCCGCATACTGTTTGGACACGCTAAAACAGCCATGCGCGTAGAGTGCTAGCTGTGCTGAAGTCGTGGGTAGCAGTGAAATGGCAAATATGAGGCAACATAGTCTAACCCTCTTTTCGCGATCACTGTAGCTCATCTGCTGAATCATGCTTCGCAGCGCCCGCTGAACAAGAACCTGTGTCATGACAAAGAGAAAGAAAACACCTGCGGCAGTTGCGTGGAATGCCGCTGGTCGACTGGTAGAAGTGGCGAATACGGTGGATCGCCAGTACAGATAATATGAGCAACCGTTAAGAAGACACAAGACACACAATGCTACTGCGAGGAAACCCATACACCGTGAGAGACCACAATAATGAACGCGAAGTTCAGCACCGTAGGGGCTCGTGGGTGTCTGTGTCCCACGATCACACATTCCGTTTTTTTTCTTTTTTTTTTAACGCAGGCGGAGATACAGTGGAGCAAAGGAAAAAAAAGAAAAGGTGTCCTTTTTCCCGTGGCGTCTGCAGATACACAAACACAAATAGAGAGAAAGAAAGAAAGGGAGGGAGAGATAGAGAGACAGACACAGAAACCAGGACAGAAATAATATATACGCACGTATACATGTAGAGAGAGAGAGAGAGAGAAAAAAAAAAAAAAANAACGCAGGCGGAGATACAGTGGAGCAAAGGAAAAAAAAGAAAAGGTGTCCTTTTTCCCGTGGCGTCTGCAGATACACAAACACAAATAGAGAGAAAGGTATAAGGACAATACACACATTAGTTCCGGTTATGATGCAACAAAATGCTCACATCCTATCCAATAACACCATCGGTATCCTATCTATAGATGTCCTCTATACTCAATGAGGGCAGTAAGCCTACTCCGTTGTAATGTATTGTATCATACGTTAAGTATTACACATCATGTGTGGTGTTGGGCGGACACAGAAGAGGCAACTCACGTCCCAAGTAGTCTAGTCCATTCCCAATGGTGTTTAATACCTTCTGCGTACTATGGAGTTGCCGTTCCACCTCTGCTTTCTCAGATCTGAGCTCGTCAAATTCTTTGTGAAGGAGACGGTGTCGCCTTTCCAGGTCATTGTACCGTTCCCGACTAATGGTATTTATTGGGTTTAATGAAGATGTATCTGTTAAACCTAATCTATGCTTGAGGTCTTGGCACTCCATGCGCCATCGCTCCAACTCGATAATTGTGTCATGATGCATTTTTCGTAGCATTGAGTTTTCATTTTTTGACTGTTGCAATGCACGCTGTAAGTGTTTGATATCAGTGTGGAAACGGTGGAGCACTTCTCTATGAAGGTGACTAAGGTCACTTACCTGTTGCTTTGTGGAGTCTATAGCATTGTTTAGTTCTGCTAAACTTGTTCCATGATAACCATTTTCTTCTTGGGAGAATGATTGAAGGCATTGTACGTGATCAAGAGAGATTTCCCGTTTAGTAGCTGAAACTGACATTTCGTTCGTCACATCTCTCATGATATTCCAAGAAGAAAATCCATCCGTCGCTGGTGTACTCGTCATTGTAGCAGATATTCCTCTCAAGTACCACTGCACAATCTCCGTTTAACTAGACTGCCTTTTTTTTCTTCTTCTTACGACTGTCCTGTAAATAAAATGTGAAGAAAGGAGAGAGAGGAAAAGAGTGATCAAAACAAAAACAAAAAGAAAAAATAAACAATGATTACCCTACTTTAATAGTACAATAAAGTGAGTAAAAGAATGAAAAAAAGAAACAACATCATTAATTCATTTTTTTTTGTTTATTTATTTTCAGTGTATGTGTATATGTATTTCATGTATAATAATAAATATTTTTTTTGTGTGTTACTTCTCAGTAAGAGCATTGTCGTTAATAGATTTGTGTGACTTTTCAGGAGGACGTAGCATCGCTATTGGAGACCCATACCTGGCTTTCTCAAGAGCCTGTAGTTCTCTCGTTAGATCGGGTTGTGTGGGTGCTGGATTATCTGCAAGAGGTCGAACCTCCCCTTCCGTAACGTAATTTCTCATACGTACACCCAACTGACGTCCACCACTCTTTTCGTAATATGCCTCGCGACTACCGAGAAACGTCCACGGCAGAGGATGCATATTAACATCTACAATATCAGGAAAATAAGGTATGGTGTATTGCTTTAAAAGAAACGCCAAAGGACGATCGGCTTCATAGCTTCCTTTCTTTGATGCCTTACGCAAACCAACGTTTGGGCGTCGAAAGAACATATCAGCTCGAGGACAGACAAAGTGAGCTTGAGTAAGATATGGATTATGTGGGTCTTCTGGGCATCGCATTATATTAGCTTTTGGATGTTTTGTTGGAATAACGTTTTCCGGCCATAAAAGTGGGTTACGCCATGGACTGGTCTTCTGAACATAATTCATAAGAGATTTGTTTGTTACCTTCTTGCGGAGAGAGTTAAATGCCACTGCTTTATCCGATTGATGTATTGTAATAGACTTTGTTAAAGGATCTACTTCAGTTAAAGAAGTAGTTATATCTTCTTCATTCTTCTTTTTTGTGTTATCAACCTCATCACTATCGCCACTAATACTACTTTCATCACTTTTAGGTTTGAGAGGTAATTCTATTTCTTTTTTACCCTTAGCTTCTTCCTCCATTGTACCACTATTCAAATATTGTAAAGATTCCATAACCCGTTCTTCCTTTAATTCCGCTTCCCATGCTTGCAAATCCTCCTGAAGTTGTGTGGGTGGTAAGGAGAGTTGACGCACTGTACTCAATTCACGTTGTGATAAAAGTCGTTCAGAAAGTCTCTTTGCTTCTGTTATTGTGAGACGTTCTGTCGGTAAAGCATGCATACAATTCATTACCATATCAAATCGCAACGTATCAATACCTCCCATATGATAAGCACTTGTAACAAGTACAGGATGTGTAATATCATGAAATAAAAGTTCTTTACGAATATCTTCTAAACGTAATAAGTTATTAGAATTGGTCGTGCTAATTTGATCACCCTTTGTTAATACTATAGTAAAATTTGGTACCTCTTTAGAAAGAAAACGAAGCATATCAATATCTTGTATATAAATCCCATGTTTGTAATGAACATCCATACAATAATACAACATTTTTAAACTTGGACGATATTGTACAAAGTTTCTCAGGAGAATTGCATGTTGTAATACAGTTGACCAAGGAACAGAGGTTCCACCAAATCCGGGAAGATCCACTATATTCAATATTCCACCTCCAACATTAAAGAAATTCATAGCATCACGGCGTAATTTTACATTGGATCGTCCAACCTCTCGAGAGGCACGAAATAAAGAACGTAGAAGTGATGATTTCCCAACATTTCCTCTTCCTGCAAAGGCGATTTCTGGTGTTGCCGGGTTTCCATCAGGGACAAAGGAAATATTAGTGGCACAACAGATATGTTTGTGTCCTCTGCTAAAAATCTCATCTGCTAATTGAGCCATGATAACATCTCGACCATTTATATTAGAAGCGTTCATAGAAGACTTTTGAGCTTCTTCCTGCGAGGCAATTAACTTTGCCCGGGCTCGACGACGTTTTTTTAATCGTTCTAAAAACATTTGGCGTTGCAATTTCTTTGGACGGCGAATATTCTTTGTTGAAAGCGGCCGGGTAACACTAGAGTCCGTCAGAGGAGAAGGAATACTAGGAATAGAAGCAGCAGCAGCAGCAGCAGTAGGAGGGCCGCGCTGCAGGAATTGTCGCGTACACCACATGATGGAAACTACGCAACTTTATATTGTGATCGTAAAAAAAAGGAAAAGAAAAGGTAAAGAAATAAGAAAGAAAAAAAAAAGGAAATAAGAAGAAGAAAAAATAGAAAACAAATGAGAATGTGATATTATTATTATTATTTATTATGTTTTATACTCCTAACGGAGTATCTACATATATATATATATATATATATATATGGGGTGTGTGTGGACACCAAAATAATACTCTCCAGAGGATTCCACAGCATATCTAGTACACTCAAAGAGATAAAAAAAAAAACGAGATAAACATATATATATATAAGGAAGAAAAAGAAAAAAAGAGAATTTTATATACATCAAATCATTTGACACAACGTTACTAGTAAAAACGTATTACACAACGCCGTGAAAGATGTAGTTACGATCATCCCAGCGTCGCAATCCGTTGGTGTAGCGCAGATGGAAAGGATCAGGTGACCTTGTTGGGATGTTTTGCCATGGATCAATATTATCCATCCACGCTCTCACTGAGGAATCGTCAACGAAGGCTGCAAATGAAGATAGATTTAATTCACTTTTTTCTTCAAAGACACTGGTGGTCGCTTGTGAAGATAAAAACACTTGAAAGAGAATCAACCAACAGTATAATTCAATACGCTGTACAATTGTAGTTATATTCTCTCTTAATATTCGTGGATTTGTTTCAAGCTCAGCATCACGAATAAGAATTGGTAACTCTTCCAAAAACATTAATTCACCTGGTGCATTTTCTTTCATAACTGCATGAATTGTATACACACATTCAGGAATAGAAATATCCGTTTGTTTCACAAGTTCTCTCACTCGTTCATAGAAAGAGTCCATAAAGGAGAGACATTTAATAGTCTCATTTGATAAAAGACTCGGTGGAGGAGAAGGGTGTCGGTTTGGTTTACTGACATCCGTTATGGAAGCGTTTGGTCCTTTCTTTTCTACTTCTGGTTGTTTTAAAATAGCATGCTTTAATAAACAAACCGCATTAAATAATACTAGTTGAGAAGGACTATCAATAGCAAGAATAATGGAGTAACCTTCTCGTAGCTGAACTAAACACTTGGAAATAAATTTTTCAAATACCAATACCCAACTACGACCACATTCAGGAGCAATCCAAGGTCGTACATGCACGAAATGATTACCTTTAAAGACATTTTGGGATACTTTCTGTGCTATTGTATCTACACTTTCTACAAGAGATAAGGTAGAAACACGTGTATTAGCACTCCACTGCCGACGTGATGAACTTTCTGTAGATGCTATGGAACTTCTTCTAGAGTTTGATTGCTTTGTAATACTATCGAATGATGGACCTTTTTCAACAGATAATGAACGTCGCCTAGCATTTCCCACCACTTTAGAACATGTTCCTCGATTATTTGAACGACGATGATTGGAACGAATAAGTGAGGAAGAAGTACTTGGAGCCAGAGAAGTTTCCCGTGAAATGAAACGGTCGGATCTCTTTATATCCTCTGAGCATAATATAAGAGGTTGTGCCCATGTATACGTAATAGGAAGAGGAGAAAGATGAGATGGACCCATTATACTGTAGTATAAAAATTTCCCATCCGATTCCGATTGAGAGATTTCTTGCATAATTTCATGTACCAAATGATCATCCTCTAAACGAAGAGAAGCACCAAATATAGATAAAGGTATTTCATCTTCTTCATGATAAGTTACAGTTTCTTTTTTTGTTACTGTAGCATCAGATTCTCCTGTTAAAGAAGTGGAAAGACCATCACATACTCCACTCCAACTATTCTTTCGTTGATTAGAGTGAGATAATGATGATGATAATGTTTTTTTGATATGAAAAGCATGTTTGGGTGGTAATGGAGAAGTTTTTTTCTCATTTTCAATATGTAATACAAATTTATCAAATTGAGGACGTCCTTCAACTTCTTGCATCTCATGCCTTGGTACTAACACTAAAGGTTGTCCATTTACATAAACTGCCGGATGAGGACTTAAACTCCACCAAGCCACTTTTCTCTCTTCTCCATTAAAAGGTATATCTTGTAAGGCAATTTCCCATGAGGCTTCGGAAAGGAAATCTGGGGCTGCATATACACCTGGACAAACCCAATTCCTTTTTCGATTTTTAGACAATAGAGAACTGGAATGTGAAGTATCTCCATTTTTTAACTCTTGTTGTTGCTCTTGATTTTGATGATACGGACTCTTGTAAAGTTGACCTTCAGAAGAACTACATAAAAGTAATACTCTCTCTATTTTCATCATTTCACTTTCGCATAGAAGAGATACTGTATTAGGAGATTTCATTACATTTTTAAGGGCAATACGAGATAAAAAATGAGGTACCGAGAACCATCCAAATACATCTGTATGAAAACGGTGCATATATTCATCAAAAGTTCTTACCGTCATGGGAAGTTTCCCACGATGATAAAGTTCCAAATAAGATATATGTAGTAAATTTAACACTAATGACTTAAAACAGTCATAGGCTCGTCGCTGCAGTACTGAAAGACCAGTACAATCTTGTTGAATCGCCATTGCATATTCTATGGTATTACATCCACTTAAGTATTCACACTCCATAAGGCGACGAAGAGGATTAAAGTGAGGAGGCATTTCTGTTTGTCGTATCATTGGTAAAGCCACTCGTTCCTCTTCCCATGTTTCGGATTCACTGTCAACATTATCATCCACACCATTCGCCTTTACAATTTTACGTGAAGGTTTCAATACAGTAATACAACGAGGTTCTGGAGGACAAGAAACGGTGTAGTTTCCAAAGAGTTCTCCATGTATTGCACTGAGACGCTCCATACATTGACGTAATAGAAATGGTAGTGAATGTGGAAGATCTTCCACCCAACACGGTACTCCAAGAGATGTTTCTTTTCTTTTTTCTTTTCCTTTTTCTTCTTTTTCTCCTTCAACTGCTGTTCTGGAGGGTAATGATGATAAGGATGATGTAACACCTTCTTTATGAGAAACCGAGATCTTTTTCCTTAATTTATAGCCACGATAAAGGGCTTGAATACGTGTTGCCGCCTGTGATTGAAGTTCATAAGTTACATGAAGAAATGTAGTATTTTCATTTTCACGTCTTCGAGCACGAGCCAAGAAAGATTCACTTTTATTTTTTTTATCATCTGTCTGTTGTTGTCGTTTCGGAGATCTTGATTGATTATGTGTTCTAGAATGAGAAACTCCCAACTTTGACGACTTCCCTCGTAATTTATCACGTTCATCCCGTCGTTGCAGAACTTCTCTCCAATACTTGGTAACATACTCATAATTAAGTTTTTGGATATACGCCTTATTGTGTTCCAATGTCTTGGCAATCTTAACACGTTGTAATTGTTCATGTAAAGGTAACATGGCTGAAATAAGTCTTGAAAAGGTCATATTGGACATCATAGAGTTAAAGGATAGGAGTAAAACAGAAGGTACACCGGGTGGAGGAGACTCATCCCAATGTTTTTTCTTTATCCCAAATGCGGTATCAATTACATCAAACACTTCTAGAACGTTATTTTGAATTTCTGGTAAATAAAGAATTTGAAATCGTGAGGGTGGTGTAGCTACAGCTAATAACTCATCCTGTAAAGTTGTAATATGCGTTTGTAGTGTTTCTTCTAAAAGGGCAGTAATTTTAGCAGCAGAACCCACAGAAGCATTCAGTGTCTCATCTAATGTACCACTACGACGTCGTTGGAGAAGTTGTTCTGTTACATTAGCGAAGTAGGGTACACCTTTTAAATAAAATAAGTCTGTGGGAGGATTAGGTGGTTCAACAAATATAATAACTTTAGATTTCGCTGCAGTGAGGGCATCAAGATTACGAAGAGCGGCATCCAATTCAAATGAAGTGGGAGTTACAAGTAATAACAATGGTATACCAGGCACTTGCATCATCTCAGCTCCATTCTTCTGTGTACATGCCTTTGTTAGTGTACACACTATTGGACTATAATGATTACTACTGGCTCCCACCACACAACTGTGTTTCTCAATTTCATGAGTTTTGCTCCCTTTCCGTAGATTTTCTGCGAGAACTCGAAGTGGATCTGCAGGTCGTTGTTGTAGAATTTCATCAAGGGAATTTGTTACCAACGTTTTAAATGGACCCACCAAGTCAGGTATGGCCCTCATCGCATCCACAGCATCCGTACCACCACTAGTAGTAGAAATACTACTCCTCCCTGGGCTACTAATATTACTACTACTTCTACCACCGGTAGCACTACCGTTCTTTATCATCTTTTCCTGTTGATGATTAACATTACTGCCAAGAGCAGTGTTGCTGGCGCTTAACCCACAATTAACGGAATGATGAGATTGATTTTGCTGTTCACCTTTTTCTTCCTCTGGTTGCCTTTTCCCCCGTTCGAATTTCTGGGTTTCGACCTTCATAGGACTCAATCTATTTTTTTTTTTTTTTTTTACCTGCGTGTGTTTCTAGTTATTAATTATTAGACACCCTTAAAATAACACTCACTCACGCTCATGCACACCCTTTTACAATAACGGTGCAAAAAGAAAAAAAGAAAGAGAGAGAGAGAGAGAGAGAAGTGTAAAAAAAAAATACACACACACACACACAGAGAGAAAAAGAAGAAAATCAGTTTACCAAACACAGAGACCCTAGCAAGAGCTCACACAAGAACAACAACAAAAAACCGAAAACAAAAAAAAAAAAAAAAAAGAAATCGCATGGTAATGAGAAATAAGCAAACAAAAACAATCTAATCATACTCGTGCACGTAATCGTGTTGTTGTTGTTGTTATTGTTGGTGCTGTTGTTGTTGATATATAGATAGATAAAGAGACATACTGCAAAACACGTGTTTAGTAGATAAATGTGCAGATGAGGGAACTCCAAGAAATGTAAGGAAACTAAAAAAAAAAAAAAAAACGAAAAATAATGCTATAATAGGAAGAAAGGTATGTTTGTGTGTGTGTGAGAGAGTGGTTGGATTTATTCAAAGAGAAAAGAGATGCGAGAACGCAAGAGATCCCTTTCCTGAAAACCCCCCAATGATGTGTTATGTGGTGATCGCGCATACATACCATTTAGCTCCACTACGGCGTCATTCATCAAAATAAATTTTTTTACTACTTCAGTCCGCCCCAGTGAGGCTACACTATATGAAATCACCTCATCTCTACGGTGATAAATCACCAATTTCTTGTTCTTCAGCTGCATACAAGACCCTACCACATTAAGGTCTCCTACGGTATATTGAATCAACTTTCGTGTGAGAGTCGGTGGGAGGCAAGTGAACCTCACGGCGGCATCACTGAGACTTGAGAAGGTACGATCCAGCAGAATAGGAGAAATACAATGATACCGTGATGCTAAAGCGGCCGCCACACCACCACCAATACTATGTCCCCACAAAAGCAATTTGGATGGATCTATCTTGTACTGTTGACTGGTGTACTGCACGACGGCGAAGGCATCCACGACGAGATCCTCCACACATGCGACGTATCCTGTGCTCTCCCCTACTCCACGTGGGTTGAAGAATATCCAATTCGCACACACCATATCATTACCTTCTGTGAAGATATCTGCTGCGCAGTCTTTCATTATCTCCGCATTTCCACCGATATAAAACACCCACCGTTCGGTGGGCACCCGCCGGCGGAGCAGCACCACGTCGAGAACAACGCCGTTGCGTGATGGCACCTCCAGCCGCTCCACCAGTCGATCCACCGCTTGCCGGCGGAGTTCCTCCAACCAACTCCCCCGCATGTGTGCGGGCTCGAGCTGCGAGAGAATCGTCGCCGGGTAGACGAGCAGCATGAGAAGGCCGCTGACGGCGGACCACAACTGCAGAAGACCCACCAACACCGCCGCCCCCACCGACAGCACCGGCAGGCGAAAGGGATAGAAAAGCATCACAAGACTCCCAGCCGCCGGGTACAGAAGTGTTCGGTTGAGAACGGCAATGGAACTACCATAGAAGTTAAACAGGAGAGCGGCAACCAGGGCGTGTAGGAAAAGAACAGTCCCCATGAGTTTTCCCAGACTCACCTTTAAGCAGAAACATGTAAAACTCCAACCAATGGTAGAGGAAAAGCACATGTATTTCGCAGGCAAAAAACGCACTGCTAAGGTTTGTAATAAACCAGACGCTAAAACGCAAATAAGAGAATCAAAGGAAAAAACACTCCACCATTGTCCCATTGCGTTCAATTCTTACTGTTGATGTATCTAGAAAAAAAAAATATTTGTAATATATAATTTATATATATATTATATTTCTCTGCGTGTTTTCTTTGCTCCTACTGTGGCTTTAGTTTTCTGTTGGTTTTCCTTTTACGTTATATTACGCGCACAGACACACAGCTCTTGAATGACTGGGATCCAGCAGACAAACAGAGGCAATTTGTATCATTAGCGCGCACGCACACACACACACACACACACACACACAGAAGGAAAAAAAAAAAAAAAAACAACAACAACAAATAAAAAGGAATAAATAAAAAAAAAATTGCATCAACAAACCCTCAATGTGTAGAAATACCACACCCAACTTTCTTCTTCTTCTTCTTTTCTCAATATAAAGGTTTATTCACATCTAGGAGTACACGTCAAGAAGCAGACCCTTTCAATTATTATTATTGTTAGATCTTTCCCATCCCTTCCTCCTCCACAGAAACACACACACACACACACAGACACTTCCCCATACTGCTCGTGCACAGTTTTATTACAAAAATAAACGGAATACATTTATCTCGGGCGAATTAGACATTAATTCAAACGCTCAACAATGACAGAAAGAAAGAAAAAAAGAAAAAAAAAAAGTACCCTTACGCACACACATATACATACTCAGTAGAGTATATAATATAAACAGGAAAAAATTATTTGGATTCAGGTTTTATTTTTGCTTCTTCAAGCATTTCAACTATATTCGTAGTGTAATTTTTCTACTGATCATGAGAATGTCTTGAATTTAACTCACCAACGAATCCTTGTGGAACTTCTTCCACTCCATGTACAACTTCTTCCACTTCTTGTACAACAGTTTGCGTTCCTATATCTTCTACGATAACTATTTTATATGATAATAGAGCCGCCAAGAGAAAGATAATAAATGTTAAGATAAAAACAAACATGTGGTTAAATGGAGGCATATGATTACCTGAAATAGACCATGCAAAGAGAGGTGTAACTATGATGGGTCCCACACACCGCATCACTGCACCACAGGATTGGTTTATACCATACATTGTACCCACACATCCTTTTGGGGCAGATCGAGCGGTGAGAAGTGTGATGAGACTATACGCCCAAGCGGCAAACCACTGACGTGAAAACATGCATAGTAACACTACAGTAAACTGCGAAATACCATGAGGGAAATAGGAAGCAAATGGAATAAATCCTACAGCTATAGCCATTCCTACTAAGGAGACACGCCAGAGTTGCATTTTATCTGTTATTGCACGACACGCTAAATGAAAGCAAAGATTTGCCAGTACACATGGAACACTGTGGGAGAGAAGAAATAACCCAACCTCATCTGATTTGAGGCCAAGTCCTCCTACTAAAGGACCAGCAATAGCCCATAAGGGAAATATTTCTCCAAATCCCATGTCGGCAACCGATAAGAGCATATAAATTATTAACACATCTCTAGTTGTAGGGAACGTAAAGGCTTCTTTATAACCAAAAGTCTCCGCTTCTCCTTGTGATTGCCCTTCGTTTAATTGTTCCCATCCATTTCTATTTGCTCTTTTATGCTCTTCATTTTCTTCCTCATCTTCATCAGTCATCCCAACTTGTAGTTCCTCCATTTCTTCTTCAAAAGGCATATCATTTCTGTTTTCCCTATTACTTAATGATACTTCATACATCACACGTTCATTTAAATCATGTGATAACATTTCTTCAGAGACAACTACAGTCTCTGTGGTCTTTACTGTTTCACCTTTACTTTTATTAATATTAATGCATCTGGTTTTTCCAATCTCATTAACTTCTTCTGCTGGGGAATTACTTAATGGTATCATCTCTGATCTAGTATGACTTAAACAAGGAATAAGAAATCTCACCCATCGAGGTAGCGGTTGGGCTTTTGGATTGGATTCTGTTACATATACAATACATACAAACATACCAAATATAGTATATACCACGACTACTAATGCCGGTAAAAGACCAGGAAACTTTGCAAACAATCCATCTTTACTGAATCCAGCCCAATGCATGGCTGTATTGTTTGCCGGGTCATAAAGTAATCCTCCAACGGAAGGCCCAATGAGAGTGCCGATACCATACGTTAAACTCACCAATGTAAATCCCTTCGCCTCATTGGTTCTATCCAAAATATCGGCTAAAACTGTTTTAGCCACAAGAACATTTCCATTAAAAAGTCCATGAACGAACCTAAAAAGAATACACAACCATACAGTGCCACTAAAACCAAATCCAAGCATAATACAACCACTTGAAAAAAGACCTATTAGAAGAGGTGGTCGACGACCATATTTATCACTAAAACATCCCCACCAGGTACTACTAACTACCTGTCCAAACATAAAAACACCAACAAGAAGACCAGAGACATAACCGGCTTCTTCAGGTGGTTTATTTTGAATATGGGAGACAAGCAAACCCACGTATGGAAGAAGCATCGTAGAGCACAAACTTTCATTAAGCAAAACCACAGCAAGGGCAAACATCTGCTTTAAAGGCAGTGGGGTTTCTGCTTGCGGAACCGACTGCATTGTACAAGAAAAAATATAAGGTGAAAAAACGATATCCTTTTCATACTAGTAATAAAGAGACACAAGGTAGACAAAAAGAAATATAAATAAAAAGAGAGTAAGAGAGAGTAAGAGAAAAAATATATATATATAAGAGACATACGATGTTTAAAAACAAAAAAAAAACTCAGATACTTCGAATATATTATTTTTACACTTTTCACAGAAAAGAAAAAGGGCAAGCCCTTCGAATCAGAGTTGAAGGAGAAAAAAAAAGGGTAAGAAAATCATAAAAAGAGGAATATAAGTCTCTTAAGCAAAAATACGTCCATAAAAATGGTACAACCGACACATACGAGATGAGGTATGGTCCATAAATATAAAAGAGAAACAAACAATGAAAACAAAAAAAAAATGTCTCTTTTGTTGTTTGATTTCTTCCTTTTTTTTTCCTCAATCAACCACTCAAAATAAAGGCTGGTAGAAGACTTGAAAACAGATAGCTCAAAAGAAGAGGTATACTGGTAAGCCAAAAAACAAAATGGTGATTAAATGGAAATGGTTGTGCACTCTGAAGAGACCACGCAAAGAGTGGAGGTAGCACCAACATTGTTAACATACGTGAGAAGGAACCAATAGCCTGCGCAATTCCATTCATTGCCCCAACATGTGATTCTGGAGCAGAACGTGCAACAAATAGATATATCAATGCATATGCCCAAGATAATACTGCCTCGCGGATAGAGCTTAATATAGTAACGTACGTAAACACCCATTCCCGAGGGAAAAAAATAGCACAGGGTGTTAAAATAGAAGTTAAAGCCCATACAATCACACTAAAATCCCATAAAAAACGATTACTTTGTACACAACGTAAAAGAGGACCAAAATTAATATTTGCAAATACACAAACAACTGCTGATATACCCATTAACCATCCAACATCAGGTGAAGTAAGACTCAACCCACCCTTCTCAATAGAAGCAATAGCCCATAATGGGATAACTTCCAAAAGAGCACACTCTGTAGAGGCTATACACATGTACATAAGTAACACTGTTCGAGTACTAGGAGTTTGTAAAGCTTCACGATAACCAAAACGTCCCAATGTTTTACTTCCTTCACTATCGGCATCTCCCAAAAACAATTCTTGCTTTCGATTTCGCATTCCTATCATAGCTGATCCAGCTTCAGATGAGGTATTGCATTGTAATGTATCATCTAGAGCTTTTCCACTACTCATAGATGGAGTTAGATGAGGTGTTTCTGTATTACGACTAGTAAAAGTATTTTCTCCTTGAATAAGAATAGGTGAACGGACATCATCAAGATCAAGTGATCTTTCTTCCACTTCCACTTCTTCTTCAATGGCAATTGCAACTGTTTTGCGTCGGAAACACAAAGAAAGCAATGGATCCACTGTATTTTTACTTGTCTCCGGTAAAAAGAAACAAGTAGAAATAAGTACAAGTAATGAAAAGACAGTAATTACCATAGTAGGAAGCATAGCTGGATGAATAATAAATATATTTCTCGTTTGTTCATCATTAGGGAAAAACTGACTGATTCCAGGATTTTTTCCTGGATCATATAATAATCCACCAAGTGAGGGTCCAACTATAGATCCTACTCCCCAAAAAAGACTAATAGCAGAGAATCCAATTCCCTCATTAGACTTATCCGTAATATCTGCTATTACAGTCTTTGCAACCAATACGTTACCGTTTGCACAACCATGAAGAAATCGCATGAGTACACAAAATTCAATACTTGTACTTACACCAAAGAAGGCAGCAGCAGCCGCGTTAAAGAATAAACCCAATTGAATCATGGGTTTACGACCAAAACGATCACTCATTCTTCCCCACATCTTGGCTGTAAGCATTTGTCCAAGTTGAAATACAGAAACCAGCAATCCAGAAAGGAATCCAGCCTCATCAGGGGTAATGTTCTGCAGGTGAGCAACAAAGAGTCCAACAAAGGGTAAAACCAACGTGGATGAAATAGATTCACTTATCAACACCATAGAGAGCGCGGCCACTTTGCAGTGGAACGACTGATTTTTACGCCACATAAAAATCGTCCCTCTTTATTCTCGCTTTTTTTTTTTTTTTTTTTTTTTTTTTTTTTTTCTCTTACAGCGGAACTCGCCGTACTTGGAAAAGGACTTCTATTTCACCGTATACTATTAGGATATATAAGAACAAACTAAACAACAACAAAAGCAACACACACACAGACAGACACAGAACCTAATAATAATAAAAAAAAGAAAAAAAAAATATATATATATATGAAGGGGCAATTGAAAAAAAAAAAAACTAAGAAAGCAAATGGAATAAAGAAAGAAAATTTTTAAACAACAGAAAGAATCAAGT